GCGTAGTTTCTGTAAAACATCCATGTAAAGTACTTTCTGGATTAATGATTCATCCTGGAACTCACTGTGACTAGCTCCAGAGTGGAAGTGAATATAGGCTGAGTGTAAAATTTGCATCAGTTTAAGAATATTAAATGTTGTAAGGATGAGTATGAACAGTTAAGTCAATCATCACCAATCACTAAAAATAGTGTTATTCAAAATAATGTGCAAAAATAGTTCAAGCTAAGGAATTTCAATTAGGCTTCAATCCCAAAACCCAGACTGTAACATAAAGTTATAGCAGTGGCCACGTTTGTGTGTGTCTGTGTGTGTGTGTGTGTGTGTGTGTGTATGTTAAATGTCAGGGTATATCAAGATTTCTGTTTGTTCTTCTCAGCTGAAAAAGGAGCAGTTGGTAGCTCCACTTTGCATTTTGTTCCATTCTTAATACCAAAGTTGACCTGCTTTTGTTGAAAGAATAAAACATTTAAATGAGAAAAAGAGACAGATATTCAAGAGTTACTGCGTGCCCTTCCTAGACAAACATCTGGATGAATGAGACCCACTTTCTGATGCAGTCCAAATTCACTCTCTAGAAACCTGACTATGAGAAAGAAAGCTTGAGGGATGGTATTGCACATTGTAACTAAAGGGGCTGCTCAGCAATGTTGTCAAAGCTCCCTGCACAAGTTCCGAAAAAGCACTGTGACATGGAATATGGTGAAATCAGAAACAGCTTTATTGAAGGAAAGGTTTAGTACTCAAGAAGTCATGATGATATTGAACACACAGCAAAGTACCAAATACCAGAATGTGCACAGTGAGATACCAGTATCCCAGATGCCCACGCTAGGGTTGCCAACCCCTAGGTAGAGCCTGGAGATCTCCCACTATTACAATTGATCTCCAAACAACAGAAATCTGTTCCCCTGGAGAAAATGGCTGCTCTGGAGTGTGGACTCTATGGCATTGTACCCTGCTGAGGCTCCTCCCCTCCCCAAATCCTATGCTCCCTCCAAGTCTCCAAGTATTTCCCCACACAGAGCTGGCAACTTACAACATGTGTCACTCAAGAAGGGGAGACTAAGGGAAGAGCAGAGATGGGTATATAGCTACGTATCTGCACTACTTCCAGCAAAACATACACATCCAAGGCAGGGTGCGCTCCCCATGCCTAAGCAGCCAATAAACCAAAAAGATAAACCAATGGGAGAAAAGGAGTGGATGCCATGCCTCGATGCGGTTCCAAAGCAAGTAGAGAGATAGAGGTCCTTCCCACGCTTGGATCTCATCCCTGGATTTATCAGAGCAACTCACGACACAATACGTTGCATTTATCTCTGGTTATAACAGCATCAGTTTATCCCGGGACAAGTGTGGGGTGAAACCAGGGTGACCTCAATGTAATGTGGAACCAAAAAATACCCCGAGATAATTACAGGGGTGAACTTGTGTGTAGTGTAGAATGTAAGTTCGGGGACAGGGTTGAACCAGGATTTAAGGTCTAATGTTGAAAGGACCAGAGACTCATAACTGGTTGTCTAAGGCTATGGTCACACACACTAAATGATCCACTTTCAGCCCACTTTCAGTGCACTTTGCAACTGGATTTTTGTTGTGTGAACTGACAAAGTCCAGTTGCAAAGTGCACTGAAAGTGGATTATTTCCAACTGGACTACCCCCAATCATGCCCCTTTTCTGCAGTTCATAGTCTTTGCCACAGGAATGGTACAAAACTGCTTTTGGGAGCCTCACATAACAGGTCTCAGCACCAACATGGACAGGGAGAAGAAAAGACCACAAAATAGAAGCTTGATGACAGCACAACTACTTAAATCACAATATACAGTTTGTACTTTGAATATAAATCCTTTTGCTCAGGGAATTTTGTAGCAACATAACTGATCACTATTTTATATCTAAGATTACGTTGTTAGTTCTGATTTAAAAGACATGTTTCAATTCAGTCAGCTTTTAGAAGTTATTTGAATCATTTGCAGTGCAATATATTTATCCATTTTCTTTGGAAAGTTCAGAGCAGTCCATTGAATGCTCCCAAACAGCTTTCCATCCAGGCTCTGAACCTGCTCAGCATTTATTTATGGATTGTTTTGATTTTTTTTTAGACCACACTCCCCTGTGGACAGGGCTCAGGGCGGTGTACATCATATCATAAATACATTTATACATCACCATAAAACCAAATAATACTGTTAAAACAATTAAATAATAAAACTCTGCTATATCAAAATGGCATCAAGGACATCTTATGTCCTTTCCCCATGAGGGAGAGGAGAGACGGAGGAAGGCAAACTTGGTGGCATTTGAGGGATGCTTATATCTCTCCCCATAGGGAAGAGGGGAGATGAAGGAGACCAGGCTTGTTGGTAACCATTGCTATCCTAAGCTATAGGCCTGGCAGAACATCTGTCTTACAGGCTCTACAGAACTGCACCAAGCCCCACAGGGCCCAGATGTTTTTAGGCAGAGCGTTCCACCAGGCCAGTGCCAGTGCCAAAAAGGCCCTGATTCTAGTTGAGGACAGCCAGACATCTTTCAGGCCAGGGATCACCAGGAGGTTCTTCTCTCCAGAGTGTAATGCTCTTTGGGGGAACTACCAGGAAAGCTAGTCCCATAGTGAGTAAGGTGGGTGAATGCCCAATTGTGCCCTTTCTCTGTAGCTCATACTCACCCTCACCCAGCATGAAAGATGCACATGCAGAAACTTGCTTCTGCACATCATGTAGATTGCAATACATATCCCCAACCCCCTTTAGCTGTATGGAACACTTTTGCTGCATGAAACTAGAGTTGCACTGGGGACATTCTTTGAAGAAATGTGCATTTTCCAGTAACAGTTTCTTCCTTCACACAAAAACATAGACATGTAAAAAATTGGAAAGTTCTTTGAATGAACTAGAATTTTGGGTTTTGAAGATCCTAGTCTTGGGAATATGAAATCTTGTATTAACATATTAGTAAATTCTATATACTGTTTAGCACTTTAAGGGATTCCTAACATGAGTTTGTTAAAAGAGCTCCAGAATTGAGCTCATTGATTTTGTGCAATTTTAAATTAATGCCAATTTAAGTTTCAATCCTAAATACATTCTGAGAAAGCAAACTCCACAAAACTGGGTTTTGAAGATCCTAGTCTTGGGAATATGAAATCTTGTATTAACATATTAGTAAATTCTATATACTGTTTAGCACTTTAAGGGATTCCTAACATGAGTTTGTTAAAAGAGCTCCAGAGTTGAGCTCATTTATTTTTTTGCAATTTTAAATTAATGCCAATTTAAGCTTCGATCCTAAATACATTCTGAGAAAGCAAACTCCACTGATTTCATTTGAGTTTACAAATGCATACTTCCTTTCATAATCTGCACTAAATAAACTGAGTCTTTTATCATTTCATCAATCTTTGTACTGACAGTAAATTGAAGATAATATTAATACTAGAAGACAGCCTCATCTGAAAAACCAATTAAACATGAATAATTGTGCTAAAGTTGACAGTTTTAAATGTAACTTAATCGAAATAGCAGAGTTCTATGTCACAGTTGTGGATTATGAGACACTGAAGTGAAGCTTTAAAAACATCCCAAGTCAGACATACTATTCAGAGTATACCAACAAGTGATGTGACAATCCACAAAAATAGCCGAGGAACTTGTAAAAGAAAATATTCTCATTTCCCCCCCAAGATACATAGCTTGAAATCCAAAGTAGCGCACGAGACCCCCAGTGTTTAGTTATCATTACTTAAATTTTGCTATATGGAATTCAAGGAGGAATGTAAACAAAAATAGCCATGTTATCCTCTTCAGTAATACCATATATTTGCAGCATTGTTATTACAGTTTAGGTTGAAGAGTGAGGAAAGCAAAGTCTTTCTTTCTTATCTAACATACTTTTTGGTATTATAAAGTTTTAAATCCAATCCACCAGGCCTATTAACAATATGAAGGTTTATTCCTAATGTGGCAATGTAAGAGTATAAAAGTTTAAGGCGCATCACATTCAGTGACCAGTATGAAAGATGTGAGGTAGTGTGCCCCCTTAAAAGATTAGGTGCATTATTTGTTGGGGAATTTCTTGTTGTTGTGCTTGAAAGAAGCTGTGTGCAGCACAATTCTGAGCATGATAATGTTAGCGACCTTATGTTCTGTAAAGTAAACTGACTCAGATCACAGTTCCACTTTCCACTTCCACGTTAGGAGGCACAGAATTACTCTTGAAACAATTTTAAAACTATTTTCTTAAACAAGAAAGATTATTTGATTGCTCAGTCAGTGAGCCTGTATGCTATAATGTGTAGGGTGTTCAACTTTGATGGGGGAGGTTTCAATTTCAAATTTCTGCTCAGCCAAGCTCACCAGCTGCCCCTCAACAAATTACCATCTCTCAGCCAAGTCCACATGACAAAACTGTAGTGATTAAAAGGGGATCTGAGTGTACTGCAGAAATGACAGGATATGATCATGGTACAAACCTCCCCACTAAAAAAAAAATTAGATCAAAATAGCTATGATATGTTCTGGCAAAAATGGAGAGTAGCACTAGCTGTCCGTTCTACTTCAACAAGAAGAGCAAGGGATTGGGATCTCCCCCTTCCCCTTAAGACTATCATGGGTCCTCAGCCTTTATCGGCCGCAGGGCATGTGGAAATTCAACAGGTGAACCATATCACATCCCAGCATGAAGGTTCAGTGATGGGGCAGTGACCTAGCGTGAGATATCTGAACAAACGCCCTATCTACGCAGGGAGAACGTCCCTAGCACCACAATACTTAGCCGTTCCATGCTTAGTTAGGCTCACACCTTTTCCCCAGAACTTTCTCATAGCTATGCTACTCCCTCCTCAGGTTCTGGCCTGTGGTCTTGGCTCGGGGAAGACCTTCGTTGTCATACTGATATTTGTGCGCCCTCACCAGGCTCCCGCGCCCAAAGGAAGGAAGTTTCCAAATCCCCCTTTTCTGTTAGTCCCTCCCAGAGCTGCACCAGCATCGCTTACCTGACGGTAACAGCCGGGGAAACTAGGAAGCAGGGGCCTCCCCCTGGCTAGCCCAGGCCTTCCAAGCGCACTGTTTGGAGACGGGCGCGCCAGCCACAGTGACGGTGCGCACAGCCTCCCGGGGAGGACGCCTCGCCTCCCTCAGGCCCAGCTGCGGCTCCGGGACGCTGAACTCTCGGCGCCAGCCCCGGCCACGCCTGCCGAGCCCCTCCTGAAGCCCCGAGTCCGTTCAGGGTGACTGGAGCGCTCGCTTCCTCATTTTCTCTCGCTCTCGCAGCTATTTCCTCAACGTGGGGTTGCGGCTGAGCAATACTTCCTCGTCGGACAAAAGCGCATCTGCTTTCATTTGCTTAAGGGCGTTTCGGGCGGGGGCGGCGGGAGAGAAGGAGAGGGGGGGTGGGGGTCAGGATGCTCAAAGCAAGAAATTGTGGGGTTTAGTAGGCAGTCGGAAGGCTACCGTGCTCTGCACTATGGGACTCCATTGGCTCCTCCAGGAACGACTGTGCGCTCGGAGCGGCTCGCAGACCTTTCCGAGAAGGGATGTCTGTCACAATCACCATACACGTTCCCGCGGAGGAGCCTTGTGAGCCTCATGACTGCCTCCTTGGGCTTCCTCCACTGTTCGCGAAAAGTGAACAGTAACACTTCCCTCTTGAAGCTGAACGGCTTCATGACGGGTAGGAACTCCCCAGGTGCAGATCTCCCTAGCACTTTATCTCACAGGCAAGTGCGCTCGTTGAATATATGTCCCTTTTCACTTGAGAAGTCCTATCTAGAGAAAATGTGGCGCCTTTCCAGTGTCTCCTCAGATGTTTATGTGGGTTAGGTGCACTTTGGTGCAAGGCATCCTACTTACATGTGTCTGGACGTTTCAGTCAGTTCCTGTGCATGCCTGCTGAGAACCTTCTGGCATCAGAAGCAGTAACATATACTATAAAGTTTATTCATAGACGTACATCAGGAAGGTTTCGCAAGCAGTTGGCATGCTAGACGGGAGATTAGCAGTTGGGGGGGGGAGAAATCCTGCTGGGCATCCTCAGTACCCTGAATGTGTAGCTCTTCACCTGTGGACAGTGTCCTTATTGTGGACTTCCATATATGTAACAAGAGTTGGTGTGCATACACAGTGCCACCTCAGCATGACATGCTGTTGTTAGCCAAATTGCCTTAAATTCTCAATATTGGGGAGGTTATGATTATTAATTGGCAATAGGCAAATTAGGGTTCACACCAGCTTATACAGAAGTCCCACCTTTACTGTAAGTACCAGAACAGACACAGAGACTATGGTTGGTAAAATATAATGTCTTTTACTGATGGAGATGTCTCAGTCAAACAATATTCAAGCACACACACACATATACTGATGCTCAGAAATAAAGATAGATCATAAACACATTTGCATTAGCAAGACATTCTTTGATTGGGTGATATTTATCTGTCCTCATTGATTGAGCCATTCCAATGGAAAAATGGAGGGGTTAGAAATAGAAGTTGGGGAACACGTGCTCTGAACCGGCAGAACCACGTGGACTCTAGCTGGAGACTAGAATTTAAAGATGGAGGTAGGGTATATGGATAGCAAGCTGGACATAAGAGGGTTAAAGTTTTGATAAGGGTCATGGAGAGGGAGAGAGAGAGACCATGTGGTCGGTCAGCATCTTTTATAAGGTGGTGTGGGGGGGCTGGCTAGGCTGGCCACATCCCCCTGTGACACCTTCTGTTAATCCATCCCACAAAACATACTATTGGCTGGCTGGAAGAGGGGAGGGGGACTAAGGTGTGGTCAATATTGATATCTAGACATTTAGACTGGAAGTTCGCACCTGGTTGCAGGTAAGATGAGTAATCAAGTTAAGGCTATTGTCTCTTGATGGCCCTGAGCGATTAGTTGCTAAGCAACTATGGATAGAGTCTCTGAGCTGCCTGCGCCTTTGCAGGGCTGAAGGGTGGGGGAGGGGGGGTTGCCTACATGTGCTGGAAGAACCTCCTAATAGCGTCTGGAGTTCTCTGTCCTCGTGTTTTTCCATGGCATGGTGTCTGAGGCTCTGTACAGGCTTATGGAACTGCTTCATCTCACAGCAGGCGAGATGGCTGGTAACTCTGGACCATCTCTGGAGCAGCAACGCTAAAGGAAGGTGTCCCTCTTTTAGGTGTGCAGTCTCCACAGGTATTCCCAGGTCACCATGTTGTACAGTCCCTTTGCACAGTCCATTTAGTTCATAAAAACACATTGATAGGCTTGCAGGGCAACACTGTGATAGCCTTGTCTCACAGTTGCAAATAACATGCAAGTCTGTGATCAGGCAGGCAAAAACGGAATATGAGGAGCATACAGCACAAAAACGTAAAGACCAACAATAAAATTTTCTTCAAATACATTAGAAGCAGGAAACCAGCCAGGGAGGCAGTGGGGCCCTTGGATGACCAAGGGGTAAAAGGAGTAGTGAAGGATGACAGGGAAATGGCTGAGAAGCTGAATGCATTCTTTGCCTCTGTCTTCACTGTCGAACCCACTCCAGAACCACTGATTTCGGGAGGGGTGTTGAAAGACCTGAATCAGATTGAGGTGACGAGAGAGGAGGTCCTACAACTGATTGACAACTTAAAACTGATAAATCACCAGGCACAGATGGCATACATCCGAGAGTTCTGAAAGAACTCAAGTGTGAACTTCTGGATCTCTTGACAAAAATATGTAATCTTTCATTAAAATCTGCCTCCATTCCTGAGGACTAGAAGGTAGCGAATGTCACTCCCATCTTTAAAAAGGGTTCCAGAGGAGATCCGGGAAATTACAGGCCAGTCAGTCTGATGTCAATACTGGGTAAATTGGTAGAAACTGTTATTAAGGAAAGAATTAGTAAGCACATTGATGAACAAAAACTATTGAGGCAGACTCAGCATGGGTTCTGTAAGATAAGGGAAGATCTTGTCTCACTAACCTGTTAGTGTTGTTTGAGGGGGTGAACAAACATGTGGACAAGGGGGACCCAATAGATGTTGTTTAACTTGACTTCCAGAAAGCTTTTGATAAAGTTCCTCATCAAAGGTTCCTAAGTAAGCTCAAAAGTCAAGGGATAAAAGGACAAGTCCTTTCATTGATCAAAAACTGGCTAATTAATAGGCAACAGAGAATGAGCATAAATGGGAAATTTTCTCAGTGGAGGGTGGTAAGCAGTGGGGTACCGCAGGGATCAGTACTCAGTCTGATGCTTTTTAACTTGTTCTTTAATGATTTGGAGTTGGGAGTAAGCAGTGAAGTGGCTAAATTTGTGGATGATAACAAAGTTGTTCAGGGTGGTGAAAACCAGTGAGGATTGTGAGGCACTCCAAAGGGATCTGTCAAGGATGGACGAATGGGTGTCAACATGGCAAATGGAAATCAATGTGGCCAAGTGCAAGGTGATGCACATTGGAGCCAAAAATCCTAAATATAAATAGATGTTGATGGGGTCCGAACTGGCAGAGACTGACCAAGAGAGAGATCTTGGAGTCATAGTTGATAACTCACTGAAAATGTCGAGACAGTGTGTGACTGCAGTAAAAAAGTCCAATGCTATGCTGGGGATTATTAGGAAGGGTATTGAAAACAGATCAGCCAATATCCTAATGCCCCTATATAAATCAATGGTGTGACCTCTTTTGGAATACTGTGTGCAGTTCTGGTCACCACACCTCAAAAAGGATATTATAACATTGGAAAAAGTGCAGAAAAGGGCAACTCGAATGATAAAAGGGTTGGAACGCTTTCCCTATGAGGAAAGGTTAAAGTACTTGGGGACCTTTAGCTTGGAGAAAGGGTGGGTGAGGGGTGACATGATCGAGGTTTATAAGGTTATGCATGGGATAAAGCGGGTAAAGAAAGAGGTACTTTTCTCCCTTTCTCACAATACAAGAACTCATGGGCACTCCATGAAATTCCTGAGCGGTCGGGTTAGAACAGATAAAAGTACTTCTTCACCCAAAGAGAGATTAACACATGGAATTCACTGCCACAGGAGGTGGTGGCGACTACAAGCATGCACAGCTTCAAGAGGGAATTAGATAAGCATATGGAGCAGAGGTCCATCGGTGGCTCTTAGCCACGAGGTATAGATAGGGACTCTGGGGCAAGTGATGCTCTGTATTCTTGGTGCTTGGGGGGGGGCAACAGTGGGAGGGCTTCTAATGTCCTGGCCCCACTGGTGGACCACCTGATGGCATTTGGTATTTTTGGTCACAGTGATACAGAGTGTTGGACTGGATGGGCCATTGGCCTGATCCAACATTGGCTTCTCTTATGTTCTTATGTCTTAGCCTAACATACTTTCCAGGACTGCAAGGATAAAGGGGGTGAGGAACCATGTGCACTGTGCACAGCTTTTGAGGAAAAGGACAGGTTAAAAATGTAGTAAATGTTTGTATGGAAAAGGGAAACATGAGCTAGAAGTTCATAATATCCATTTAATCTTGTTTAGTGCAATTCTCATGATCATGATAGCTGCAAAAAGGGGAAGACAGTTGGCATGGTGGAAACCAAGCATAACTGTGGTTACACATGGAGCATCCATGTCACATGATAACTGCCCAGTGACAGTCAGAGATTATGTTTCACTATCAGGACCTGTGTTACTACATCAGCTTTGGGTATAAACCACTTTTTAAACATTGACTGCTCCAGTTAAGAAGTATTGGATGATCTTTTTGCTTTTTTGCTTTTGCTGTCGCAGCTGATTTAAAGTGACCCTGTAGCGTTTTTCAAGGCAGGAGATGTCCAGAGGTGGCGTGCTATCCCTTGCCTCTGCATCATGACCCTGGATGTCCTTGGTGGTCTCCCATCCAAATACTACTCTGGGGTGATCCTGTGTAGCTTCTGAGCTCTGATGAGATTGTGCTAGACTAGGCTATCCAGTCAGGGCATTTATCTAACCATTTATCTAACACAACAATTATCTTCTGAAATTTTCTATTAAAATATTCTTTTTTTTTTTACCCTGGACCGTTTTTGGCTCTGCTTTCTATGTACAGTTTTAAAGTATGTCCTCAAAAGCATTAACATTTTCATAATAGATTCTGCTATCTTCATTTGCTATGAAATAATATTAAGAACTGATAGATTTTTTCTGGCTTCATGTCTGCCTGTTAAACTATTGTCAGTCTTTTTTTTTTTTAAACACCCTTACTGTTTCACCTACTCCTGAAATGACTGTCAAGAAGTAATTCCAGCTT